TATAAAAAATTTCATTTTCGATTTTTTTTGCGAAAACTATAACTTACCCTACAGGACGTTAAAAAGTTTTATTTTTTTCATAAAAAGTTAATTATTTCTTGATTTACTGCATTTTTTTCTAGAAATATTAATAACAAAGGTCAAGCTTCCTACAGTTCTTGTGAAATGTACAATATTACAGACTGGACAAACGTTCATCCAAACCAGAACTACTCGACTATAAGTAAGAATCAATTATAAAAATGTAATTTGGTACATCTTACAGATGATCAGATGTTATAGGTTTTCATAAAAAAAAAATTTCAGAATGCCAGCATGGATATGAGTTTGACAAAACCTGGTTTGAATTGACAATACCGATGCAAGAAAATTGGGTATGCGACAAGGAAATGAGAGTAACAAATTCCTTGATAATCGGCCGAATAGGTGAAATGTTTGGAGCTCTAGTATTTGGACAATTAGGAGATGTGTGAGATATTATTTATTATAATTCATTCAATATTTTTATAGTTTGTAAGAAAACATTTTGCCAACAGAATAGGAAGGAAGCCAGTATTTTTTCTCAGCATGGTGTTGATTATAGTAGGAAAAATATTTAACTTATTTCTCACTAGTTCATATTATTGGTATGTATTTGGATATGTGGTGACTGCACTGCCGCAGATGTCTCTATACCAGACTGTTCTTGTCATAGGAATGGAAATATCGACAAGGTAATTTTAAATTTCGATAAATTCGAATTTATTTTCAATATTCAGCCGAAGTGATAAAAGTGACTTCACGTGCTGCAAAAATTTGTATACAATTTTAAGTACTTGGTGAAATTAGAAATGACCAAAATAATATGTCTTGAAATAGAGTTTATATGAATTTATCAATCTCGATAATCATAATTAAGTGTCATTTATCATAATTTTTCTGTAGTGATGAAAACTCACACGTCGCTATGTTACAAGGAATTGGGTGGACGTTTGGAATTTGCACAATGCCTCTTTTGATGTGGTGGTTGAGAAATTGGTTTGATTTTGTTCTAGTTTCTTCATTGCCATTTGCAATATTTTTAATTAATAACAAGTAAGTCATTATGAAATTGCTATAACTTTCAGCAAAATTAAAAATTTAATAAATATTTTTCTAGATATATGATTGAATCACCAAGATGGCTAGCAAGCAGAGGAAAAATGAAGAAATGTGAAAAAACTTTACGCACAATTGCCAAAGTTAATGGTGCAACATTGAATGATGATGCATTAGAAATGCTAAAAGATTATTCGTCTGAACCTGAACATGTTTTTGGAATGATGAGTTTGTTCACAAGCTGGACGCTCGCCAAGAACACAATAATGTTATTGATATGCTGGTAAAGACTTATGTTTTAGAAAATTATGAATTTAGAATATGTTGATTAATTTTAACATATACAAATAATAATATGGTATTTTGAAATCAGAAAGCCCTATTGTGGTGTATAAAAAACCGCGCCAAATGTAATTGTTTATATATTTCCAGGGTCGTTTGCGGTTTAAGTTACTTCTTACTGTACTTGAATGTAAGTAATATGGATGGAAATCCGTTTCTGAACTATTTGTACCAAGGGTTTGCAGAACTTCCAGCTTATCCAGTTGGAAAATTTGCAACAAACTATATTGGAAGAAGATGGACTGCATGCATGGCATTTTTATTAGCATTGTGCACAACTCTACCACTAATCTACACATCAACAGGTAAGAAATCGAAAAAGATACCATAATTTTTTCGAAAAATTAAAATTATAAATCTTTTTTTTTTTTTGCCTACTTTTATTGTCAATCAAAATTAAATACATTTTTAAGACAATGTGAAAATTATAAATGAATAGAATTTGTTACGGATGAAACTACAGTTGAATAATGTAACTAAAACGTATCCAGAAGAGAAGCTACAATTAATGAAACTTGTTTATTTGTTATTCAAATGTCTGCTTTTGAATTTTAAATACTTTTCTCAACAAATATTGAAAATGCCCATAGAACTTATACAAAAAGTTTAATATCAGATTATCTTTCACAGATCCATCATTGCACATATTCACAAGCATATTTGCAGCAATCATCAAATTTTGTGTCAGCGTTTCCTTCTACGTTTTAATGGTTCAAGGAGTTGAAGTATATCCAACATGTTTAAGACAAACAGGAGTAGCCCTTGGTGTAATTTTAGGAAACGCGTCCAGTATTTTGGGTCCTTATATTTCATACTTGGTAAGAATATTGGAAGTCAGACAACTTAATCTGCTACCCTTTTTGTTATAGCAAATAAAAAATAATGATATTAAAAATATAAAAGATGCTTAAAGTATAAGAAACACTTATAAATCAATACTCTTAAATCATGTGTATCAAATTTTAGGGTACCACATATGATGTGCGATATCCGTATTTGTTTATATCACTTATGATGTTCTCTGGTTTGGTGGCCGAGCTACTATTGCCTGAGACCTTACACCAAAAGTTACCAGATACATTGGCGGAGGCACAAATTTTTGGAAAGTCGCAGAAATTTTGGACGTTTCCAAGAAAAAATACATATAAGTCTGAAGAAGAAAAAACTCCACAAAAGAGCTGATAAAACAATATATTTATAAAATTATATCACGTGTAAATTATGTATGAATAATATGAGCATTTTTTCTACACTTATATTTCATTCATTGTATTATAATTGGTTTATATCGATTCTGAGTGTGATAATATTAGGATAAATAATCAATAAATTTTGAAAGTAACTTTTAGAACCACTTTTTATAGATTAGTTAGGTTAGTATGTTTGCGACCCCTTATTATTGTAATACTAAGAAGATTAGGTTAAATAGATTTAGCTATATTATTTGGGTTTTCTCATTATTGAGTAAAAGATTAATGGATTCAAACCAATTGGAAATTGAAGCCATTACTAAATTTAATTTGTTACTTATTTCTTCCAAAGAATTTCCCTTAACAATAATACTAGTGCCATCAGCAAAAATAATAAATTTACAAAGATCAGAACAATTTGGTAGATCATTTATATATATATATTATATATATATATATATATAAGAAATAAGGAAGGACCAAGTATTGAACCTTGAGAGACACCAAGTTCATTATAACTATTCAAACTTCATTTTTTTATAATATTAATTGTAGTGACTCTCGACATTACTGAAACTATTATTTTTTTGTTTAGCGGGTAGTTTTGTTACGTAACCCCTCTTTATTTTTAAGAAATTTAAATATAATTCGCGTGGCTGAAGGCCCATGGGCCAAGTAATAATTCAATACAATTTTATCGTGAAGCACATGATGAAGACGCTCTATAAGTTGAAAATACTAGTTATTTTGCAAGAAGCTGCACTATAAATTTCAGATTGATAATATTTTTGTTGACAGAGACTTTAAGAAGACGAAAATCATATTTCATTTTTGTAACTTCCTTTAGGGTAAGTTATATAGTAATCGCAAAAAAGTCAAAAATGAAATATTTTATATATCTTTACATTTCAAAGGTTTCTGAATATTTTGGCGTACTTTAGAAAAAATGGATGTATGTGTGTGTAAGTGTGTGAGTGTGTGTGCAGATACAAATTTTGGTCGACGATTTCGGGAACACCGATCAACCGATTTGAATAATTAAAAAAAACATTCGATTCGTATTAATAAGGAGACGTGCTGATCAGTTTTTGGCGAAGGCAAATCTAACCGTTCCGAAGATATTGTGCAAAAAGTGCCAGAAACAGTAACTCAGTCTGATATTAATAAATCAAATAACATTTTACTTGTATTGACAAGATGAAGACTTGATTAAATTTTTGGCAAGGCAGGTCCAGCGGTTATGGATTCTCAATGAAAATTAGTTAAACAAATGCAATTTGCCGGTCAAAAATGTTTATTAAACTTATGCACATCAAATTATCAGATATTTTATAGAGATTTTAATAACGTGTACACATTTTGTGTAACTTTTTTGAGTTTCGTACCAAGATTTTTAATTACGGTACGGAAAGTTCCAGCAATTTGCCTGAAGGCACGATGCCATGCACCCGACTAGTTATTAATTAAAATGGTGCAATGCCAACACAAATCTAGATATATCATAAAATACATAAAAATTACAAACCACTTAATACAAATTATCTATCTCGTAGATCATTGCTAATTCGATTAAGAAAAGTCTAAATGTATTCTGATATTGTGATTATTTTAATAAGTTAATTAGCAAATAGTAGTAAAGTAAATTTAATTTTCAAAGGTCTTGCCATTTAATTTTTAAAGGTCTTGCCGCTAAGAATACTACAGCGAATGACAAAAATTAAAATTACATGTCACATTTATATCATGAAGTCGATAATTTGACTAATCAAAATTCGATATTCATGTAATTTTAGTGATTTTTTTTCGTCCAATTCAAAATTAAAAGTGTACAGAGTAGAACCTAATCCAATTTCATAGAAGGGCTTCCCAGGAAGATGCCAGCACACGTTTAACTTTGAACTGTCACTTTGACAGCACAAGATCTGTCAAAATCAATGCCCAAGTTAGGCAAATGTGAATAATCCAGTTATAGTTTATGATTAAACAGTAAACTAATTATACAGTGAATGTATTTTTCTACAATAAAATTGTGCACGTCTTCCAACATGACTGATTTACTTAAATCTTTAATACTCGTATCTGAAAAGGCAGCAAATATCGCAAGAATATGTAGACAAAATGAATATTTATCAGTAAATTAATCGAGGAGAAAAAGAATGATGCAATCCAAGATTTTTTCAAGACTTCACAACATTAGCAGAGGTTTTGATACAAGAATCAGTGCGACATGATATTTCCACTAAGCATCAAATATTCATCACCGTGTATAGCTAATCGTCTTTATTTGCAATGCTATTGTATCCAATACATTTTATTTTCGAATTCTATTTCAATCTGATTCAATCATGCGGGGAAAACTAATATATTAATATATATGAGAATGACTTACCAATGGGCCTGCAGTCTTTAATGCATCAAAATATACATATGTAATTACTGAAGTTACATATATAAGTACTGAAAAAAATATTGCAGTACAAATTTCTATGGTTAAAAGCAATTTTAATAATTAATAATATAAATTTCATAAAATTTTTGCTATTCCCTAGTTCAATTGTAAATATTCAGTTTCCAGAACTCCACGATTTCATACATGGAGAAGAGAATAATAAATTCAGTAACACTATGGGTGAGAGTATTATTGTGAGTGTTAAAGAAACGGAAGCCGAAACCTGTGCTCTCTTACAAAAGGTGAATAAGCTACCTGAATGATTGAGAATTGTAAGCATGTATAAAATATAAAGGTAAATTTAGGTATGTGATGATGGACCATGTGCTGAAATATTAGCAAAAGAAGTTCATAGAGAAATAACTCACGAAGACATTGAAAATAGCACTAGTCATGACTTTCCAACATTTGAGATAGAAAATATGAAGGATATGGCTATATGGATTGATCCGATAGGTGAGTGAACTAAGTTTATTGCATTAAAGTGGTCATGTAGAATTAGTTAGTTATCATAGAATTAGTAATTATCATAGGAATCAATATAAAGCCCAGAATATATCTAATATTAACTACCAATATTTATGATTAGAGGCAATTCATCAGTAATTTCTTCAAGCTAGCCACTAATAAAAATAATATTATAATATCTTGAGAGTTTTATGAATTCATTTCTAATGAATCAATAGATAACATATGATAACACTGCTTTAAATTCTTTTTTTTAATTGCTTTTGCTTATTTAATTTATCATACAATAAAAAGTAATGATTATATTATTTTTAATTCAATTATATAATTTATAGATGCAACTTTAGAATATATAAGAGGAGATCAAAAAGAGAGCAGTTTAAAAGGAGTATTATCAAATGGTTTAATTTGTGCGACTGTTCTGATCGGTGTCTATAGTCAGAAGACAGGTGAACCGATACTTGGAATTATAAATCAACCTTTCCATACCTTATCCAATGAAAGGTTAGTAGTATTAATGTAAATAAAAATTTACATATATGCTGAACATTTTACCTTTTTATTACTAATTTTACCGAGATATTAATTGAAGTTATTATATTAAAATATCGAGATTATATTAATTTATTAGAAAAAAATTCTTTTTTTTTCTATCTATTAAATGCAAAGCACTTTTACTACTGCATCATCATGTGTTGAAATTTTCTGTATAATTATAATTTAACATAAGCAATCTACATAATTAGGTATACCAGCAAGATTTATTGGGAGTAACCTTCGACAAGACAAAAAAGCATTCTGAACATAATATCAAAAATGATATTAGACAAACTTAACATTTGCAGTGAGTTCAAATGAAAATGAAGAATTAATTAATTACCTTCAACAGTGTGGTGTCTATACTGTCCCTCTTGCTGGAGCCGGATACAAAATACTTAATGTTATTATTGATAATTGTGATTGTTTTATTTTGTCAAGAGGATCAACATACAAATGGGACACATGTGGGCCCCATGCCATATTAAGAGCTATGGGAGGTGGAATTATACAGTTTGCACCAACAGTATCACAAAGTATGGACTCAGAAATACCAAATGATCTATGCATCACATACAATAAGGAAAATAAAATTCAAACGGATTAATAGCTTATAAAGATCCTAGAAAGTTGCAGGAGCTTTTAACTATGCTCTGCAATAAGTACAATAAATAAGCTATTGAAAACAAAGCTATATTTGTTGAAAAAGTAAGTTTGTTATAAGATAACATACACATTGTCAGGAAAAAATGGATGGAACGACTGCCATTGATATCAGTGTGTTACTTATATACATGATACTTAAATAACGTTTCGAATTCCTTGAGATGAAGCATTTATGTGTAGATTCCAATAGTTTTAAATAATTAAGAGACCTGATCAGAAATAATAAAATAATATATATAAAAAATTGAGAATTATTATGAAAAGATATATGAAACTAGGTAATTATAGTCATCTTAAGTTAATTTCCTCTAATGAAAATTATTCTTTTCAGAATATTAATATATAATAAATATAAATATATATATTTTTTAATTAAAAATCGTAATTTGAATAATAAAATTATGTAAATAGTAATTCATACATATATGTACGGCATATTTGTGAAATAAAGTATTGATGTTGTATAGCGTATAATAAAGTATTGATGTTATTCTGAGCTGGCGATAGTAAAATCAATTGGAGTTAAAGTATTAACTTCAACTACATTTTATAGATTTATTCTTTGATCATATTGCAAGCAAATTTTTATATCTATGTTCTTGTAATTTAAAAAAAATCTGAATTCAAATTATTAGCGACTAAATGAAAAGTTCTGCATATGTGTAAATAAATGCATTGGTAACTTGCTACGCTATTTTTCAAAATAGTAGTAGAAAATTGTAGTATCACTTCCATAATAATATCAAAGGTATAAAATTTTTATGAGATATTTGAATAATTTATCTGATAGATCACATTAAACATATGGTAAATGCAAGATTACTGTAATTGGACGATTGATACCATTAAATTCGAGCAGAATTTTGCTAGAAGACGCATGTTATAAAAAGGTATGTTTCAAAGGTATAAATTTTTATGAGATATTTGAATAATTTTATCTGATAGATCACATTAAACATATGGTAAGATGCAAGATTACTGTAATTGGACGATTGATACCATTAAATTCGAGCAGAATTTGCTAGAAGACGCATGTTATAAAAAGGTATGTTTCAATATTAATTTCAAGTAAGAATCGACAAGAAAACAAATGAGCACTATATTAGCTTTTGACTTTTTACTAGTGCTTGATGACCTGACAAATTGTGAGAAAAATTGATGAAATATTATTTCATTGATTATGTATGTCAACCAACAAACAAAGTTGGTAAGGATCAATCACCTAACATCGACAAGAAAACGAATAAATACAATTAATTACCTCCTACGTGTAAGTTCTACTAGTAGGTTTCGACTTCTTAATAGTATATGATAACCTGACAAATTGTGAGAGTATATAGATGAAAAATATCTCAATAAATGCGAATTACAAATAAAAGCTGTGTATTGTATAAAACCATCACACAATGTTGATTAATCCGAATTGGTAAGGATCAATCCTAATACACAAGAGGAGCAATAAGATTTTGAGGAAATAAATATAACAAGCTAAATTTCATCATTTATTTACATAGTGTTATGTTAGGTTGCAATAAAACAATATGTCGTTTACAACAACTCACATACACATATTGAATGTTCAGTATAAGTTAATACCATAAATAATTTTTACAAACACAACGCTTTTTTCTTTAAATCGTTCATAAAAATTTTGCAATCGTATCAAAATAAATTATAAAGAAAGTAAATATATAGTTAGCAAATTACAGGCATACATTTTCCAAAAACAATCATAGACTTTGCATACCTCTAACGACCACACGTTTCTTTTGCAGGTTATGTTTATTTTATTGATCGCTTTAGTTCCTAATCACAAAATCACGCAAATTATTTCAAATAGTACGTTGAGAGACAGTGAAACACTGAACATAAGAAATAATTAACGTTTGAAATAAAAACTCAATTCGATTGAACTTTTTCTTACACTTAATTGTATAACTCATAACTGTTCACAAAAAATAACGCACAAACAATGCTCCAGCACGACTAGAGCACAACTGTACTGAACTGAAGTGCGCAACGCAACGCAATGCTAAATTTCAAATTCAGTGTTACCACCATAGATAAAATAAGAGTACCACTAATAAATAAGGGTATGACTTCTCGGTGTTAGCCATGTGTTAGCGATGTCATGTGTATGTTTTGCAAAATAAAATAAAATATATTAATAATATATAGTGGCAAATATCAGACTTTGTGTTAGATCATAGTGTTGTTTCAATATAGCTTTTAATTAATTAGTGAAATAAATGTTTAAACAAACCGTATTACAAGATTATAAGTAGCATTTTGCCTTAAAACAAGTTGCAGGAACTTCCCGAAACGCGTACATAATTAGCTTAATCATTAAGAATTGAGATTCAGGTATTTATATGAAATTAGTTTATTTCGAAATTTGAATTTTCGCTTTAACTAAAAATTCATCTATGCCATTTCCAATTGAAAGAATTTGATTGGCTACTGCGTAAAAAGTCTAAGCTCTCTGTCGAAAATAAGTTGCTGCTATATAAATCAATTATTAAACCAATCTGGACCTACGGAATTGAGCTCTGGGGATGTGCTTACAAATCTAATATAGCTATAATGCAGACATTAAAGTCTTGATTAACAAAAATAAATTGTAACAAAAAAAAAAAAAAAAAAAAAGCTATAATGCAGAGAACTCAGTCAAAAATTTTACGTACAATTCTTAATTCTCCGTGGTACGTGACAAATGAAACCATTCACAGCGACCTCAACATGAAAACGGTGCAATTAACGTTCAAAGAATTCAAAAAAAAAATACAAACGCAAACTGGACTCACATTCGAACCCATCTATAGTTGACATTACTCAACCTTTTGGCATTAGGAGGTTGAAACGACAATGGCTCTTAGACTTAGTGTTGGATAAAATCCTTAGGTCGAAGACCTCGAGAAACACAATCGGCTGCATTTTGATTAGAAGGAATGTGAAGCCATTGTGCATTAGGAATGAGATCCCGTATTTTTGTTACCCTATTGGCTACAAATGTTTTCCAACGAGTAGCCGGTCCTGCTAACCAGTGAAGGACAATCATAGAATCGGAAAAACAGTAAATAGAATCAAAATCTATACTATGTTGGTTATTCGTTAATATAAAATTCAGAAGTTTTGACAGTAAATGACAGGCACAAAGTTCAAGCCTGGCTAATGTTTGGTTTTTAATCGGTGTTACACGCGATTTTGAAATCAACAAGAAATTCGGATTGCCAAGAGATTTAATATAAACTACCGCTCCATACGCTTGCTCTGAACTATCCGCGAAACCAAATAATGAACATTTGTTTTGTTTTGATGTTTCGAGATAACGCGGAATCTGATAGTTATTAAGATGCTCTAATTCGGAATATACGGCTAACCATGATGTAATAATAAATGATGGTAATTCCTCATCCCAATCGATTTTTAATGTCCAAATTTTTTTCAATAATATTTTTATCTTAACAACTATCGGAGTTAGGAAACCCAGAGGATCCCAGATTCGCGCTATTACTGAAAGAAGTTGTCTCTTTGTCCATTTTCTCCACGTAAGCTTTATTTCGAATGAAAAATTATCTGATAAGGGATCCCATTTTAATCCCAATACCTTTGTAGAAGATTCCATTTGAAAATCCGATTTAGAGAAATGTTTATTTTGTACATCAGAATCAGAAAAAAGTTTACGCAGATTAGAATTATTAGATTCCCACTTTTTTAATTCAAAACCACCAGACGATAATACAGTCTGCAAACCCTCGCAAATGGTTTTAGCGCTATCCAAAGAGTCGATACTTGTAACCACATCATCAATATAGACATCGTTCTCAAGAATTCTAGAAATAGATTGAGAATATTTGGAACATTCGTCTCGGGATAGTTGTTTGATGGTTCTGATAGCTTGAAAGGGAGATGATGATAGACCAAAAGTTACGGTATTTAATTCATAAATGCCAATGGGTGCATCGGGAAACGGTCTCCATAAGATTTTTTGATATTTTCTATCTTGTTTACGAACCCAAATATTACGATACATTTGTTTGATATCAGCTGTTAATGCTATAGGCCCGAAACGAAAATTTAGAAGGATTGAACAAATGTCGGTTTGTAATTTAGGACCAACATGCAAAATTTCGTTCAAGGAAGTGAATTCTGAATTTTTCGCAGATGCATCAAACACAACGCGTAAAGGCGTGGAGGAACTTTCTTTTTCGACTGCGAAATGTGGAATATAATATCCATTTTTTATTTTAATAAAATCATCGACTTCATGATCTACCGGACAATAATCGACAAAGGATAATTGGTTTTGAGTCAGGTAATCTTCTATGACGGCGGCATATTTTTTATGAAATTCGGGATTTTTCAAAAATTTATTTTCAAGCATGTGGTATCGCTTTAAGGCTAAATGAAATGATTTGTATAAATTTCTGCCTTCACTTTTAAAAGGCAGCGCTACTACATATCGTCCATCTGGAGATCGCGTAGTAGTTGTAGTAAAATGGTTTTCGCATAAATCATCGTTAGAAGAGAGGATTATTTCGGGAATGTCTTCTAATTGTAAGAATTTATTCATTTGTAAATGAAAATCTAAATCTGAAACATTACATAAATTAGTAGAAGTGCCGGTATTTTCAAATAAATCAGGAATGGAACCTAATATTAGATAACCCAACCGGTTTCTAGGGCCACAGGTAATCCTTTATCATTTTTAACCTGATGAGTGCCAAGAATTTCGCCGAAAACATCGCAACCCAAAATTCCGTCGACCTCCTGGGGTGTATGAAAGTTAGGATCCGCTAAAGGATAATTCAGAAATGTTTTGATGGATGAAATCGGAATGGTAATTTGTGGTTGCTTTCCCACTATCTCGTGTACTACGTATGCACAGACCGATAACTGATAAGAATCAATTAAAGATTTCAAAGTGAAATTAACTAATCCAATAACTTTATGTGACGAATTGCCTAACCCGATCACTTGGGTTGATATTGGAAGAATTTGTAAATCAGCCTTTTTGCACCAAGTTAATGTCACAAAATTTCTATCGCTTCCCGAATCAATAATTGTACGTAATAAAATGTTTTCTTTTCTAGTAGTAACTTTTACTACTGCTGTCGGCAATATGGTAATATGATGTGCGATTTTGTTTTGATTAAATGCGCATAAAACCGTACTACCTGATTTGGAATTAGAAAGATTATTTTGATCCGTACTCGCAAAATTGCTACCAGTATGCAATAGCGAGTGATGTCGTTCGTTACATAATAAACAGGTTTTATTCGATCGACACGTAGTCGTTATCTTATGACCCAAACAATTGTCGCATAAGTTTAATTTTTGAATAAGGGATCGCCTATCAGGTATACTCAATGATAGAAATTTTGAACAAGTAAACACTCTGTGTTGTTCCCGACACACAAAGCATTTGTTATCATATTTATCTTTTAACAAAAATGACCGGCTAATTTTAGTGTTTTTGTAATTGGGTTTGTCATTAGTGAAATTGTTGGTCATACCATATACTTGATTTTTTGCCTGTTGTGACTTTTGAAGAAAATGCAGGAGGTCTTGGTATTTGGGAAACTCACCTTGATAAAAATGCTCGAATTTTTCTTGTAACAACGGATCGAGTTTCGAGAATGCCAGTGACGTAATAAGGAAATCATAGGCGTCGGGAATATTCAATTGGGAGAGCGCTTGCACCGCGGTATCGAATTTTTCCAGGAATGAATTTATTTGTCCAGATGAAATGGTTTTGAATGACAATAGTTGTTTGAAATAATTGGTGGCTAAGTACCGTTTATTTTGGTATTTTTTTATGAGCGCTTCCCAAAGAATTTGATAATTATTTGCGGTCGGTAGTATAGAATGAAATATTTTTAAAACCGGACCCTGTAACGCTCCTTTTAAAAAATGAAATTTTGATACATTATCTAACTCTGTATTTTCATGAATTAGTGAATTAAATGTTTCATAGAATAATGGCCATTGTTGAATATCACCTGAGAATTTAGGTACTTCAATGGACGGTAAATGTTGCTTGGGTACAATGTCTTTAATTGAAGAACTATGCGCATTTTTATTATCTAGTAATTTCTCAGCGTGTTTTATTTTGGCATACATCGTTTCAAGGGCCTTTATTGCGGAATATTCCGGAATGAAACTAGGATTATCTAAATATTTTAATTTGTTTATTTCATCGCACAATTGAATAAATTGTTCACGAGCATTTTCAGTAATATATAAATTTTCAAGAAATTGTGTCTTATTTGAAGATACATCAATCTGTTGCGATAGATCGTACGTTTCTTGCACAATTGAAAAGTACATCTCTCTCTTGGCGGTTAGACGTGCAATTTCTGCACCAATATCGATTTTAGGCGCCATTATATATATTTTTGTTTTCTGTATACACCCAATTAATCCTAATAATAATTAGGATCCGGCTCGAAGGACCAAATGTTGATGTTGGGGGGTTTCTCAACCCCTTTCGAAGTATTTTATACTTCGAGGAAAAATAAAAAAATTAAATGTATTCAGAAAACAAAAACCAATGGTAAACAAATATAAATTAAAAATAAAGTTCTTCTTAATCCGTAATCAATAATAAACTAAAATATATTCTATATAAATTTTATATAAATGAAAAACAAAAATAAACACTAATTAATATTGTATGAAAATGTTATCTGTTTTGGAAGTCCAAGCCGCGGCGGCTATTTGGTTGGATCTGGAAACATCAGCGTAGTCGGTTGGATAGGTTGAAAAGAAATTCGAATACACTGACAAATAAAAATAACTGTTGACTTGACACACAATAGAAATTTAATCCACTGATAATATTGAACTGATAACAAACACTGAAAGGAACTGAATGTATTGATTGCAAGTAACTGAATGAATGAATTAAACCAAAATGAATGAAAACCACGGAATAAATCAACTCGAACACTGTAAGGAACTGAAAGTAACCGAACGAATGAAAGGCGCGGAATGAATTGATTTGAATGCCAAAAACTATTGCCTGCATCGGCCTTTTTATGAGTCAGAATTGCCCGATTGCCTAAATTTGAAACGTATTGTCCGAGTAGAAAAACAAACCTTTTACAGGTCCGACAACCTACACAGGTGCGGCGCAAACACTTAGTCTTAGATTAAGTCTAATATAATATTATATTAATTGTAAAACTGAGAAGTTCTCATTGGAGTTCTTCTTAGGCATCACTCATAAATATTGTCACTTTAGCTCATAGGAATCTTTATGTATTTCTGATTGCTAAATAAAACTGAGTTAAAAAAAAAAGAAAAAAAAATCCAATTGACATCTTTGAAACTTTCTTATATTTCCTATAATTATATAAATTAAATTATTCGTTTAACGCTTATCATTTCATCAAATTCGGGTTCTCAAAACGTAATTTATTTAAAAATGAATATAAACTGTAATCCGTAGTACCTACCTACAAAACGTAGAACGATTTGGCATAGATTCTGATTAGAATCGCTAAAGCGGGAGACACAATTTCGAATATTGTTGAATTTTTAATAATGTAATCGCCTATCCTAGGCCAAATTCGGGTTCTAAAAATGTAATTTATTTAAGAGTGAACGTAAATTGTAATCCGTAGCCCCTACCTACGAAACGTAGAACGTTCATATGATTTGGCATAGATTCTGATTAGAATCGCTCAAGCGCGGGACGCAATTCTGAATATTGTTGAATTTTTAATAATAATTCAATCGCTTATCCTAGGCCTATAATATTTTAGTATGTTATTTCAGGCCAAGCAATTTATCGTCATACAAGTTCCATGGAGAAATGGCCCGATGGCCCGGCCGATCTTTACCAAAAACTAATTAACGCGATTCCTAACCAATATCTTTCAAACAGTTTTTGAATTTTTACAATCGATCTATGATTATGGGCTAAAACGTGGACGAAAATGTTTACACATCTCTGATAATTTCAAAGAAACTGCTTGGCCAATTTTAGCACAATATTGTCCAATGCTAGTTATATATAAATGGTTTTAAATTTTTTTCAATCGGACCAAATGTTTTTGAAAAAACGTCGACGAAATTACTTATGGCATGATATTAGATCATAAATCTCCTCACATACACATACATAACTTTTACAAATTTGGTCTCATTCGATTCGGAATAACTTACTACATCTTCGAGAAAACATAAAATAAGGAAATAGGATTTTTTAGGAAAAATAAACTTGTTCTTCGGGAAGGTAACAATAATATACAGTGACAAATATCAGAATTTTTTCTATACTATAGTGTTGTCGCAATATAGCATTTAATTAATTAGTAAAATAGACTTTTTCAACCAAACTCTACAACAGATATATTTTCGTGATTTTTTAGACTTTCATACCATTAATGTTAAGATTGCAAAATGTTTATGAGCTTCTCCCGTAATACATATAAATATTGACTAATAATAAATTTTGTTTTTTATCGATAACATATAATAATTGTACAAAAAAAATCTTTCTGTTGCTTCTTGTGTAGAATAGGTATGCAGACATTAACAATACTGATATATTTATGCAGCCAACAAAAATATATTTAAAATAATGGTTTATATCTGGAGTTTGTAGTAGTGAGTACAAATCCAGTCAATATATCAATTTGTTTACAATACCACCAAATTGGTGGCACCAATATATCTCCATCCCAACGAAAATTCCAATAAATACTTAGCAATTTATATACCAGTATTAAAAACTCTGCATAGCATATATTAATATACAATTTACAATTGATGATTTTTACAATGAACAGAAAAACATCTTTCTGCATGACGAGAAATAAATTCGTTATTGTGCAATTTGAATATTCAACGATTCATAAATAATTTGAAGCAAAATTGAAACTTTCTCAGTTCTTGCAAGTAGCATTTAAATGCCATTTTAAATTATATGATTATCAACAGCAACATATATTTATATTGTCAATATACAAATTCTAATACTTTAGTACATTATGGAATAAATATTTATATACAATATATATTTTTACATAGCAATCTCAAGATCTATTTATTATTTAATAGCAATTATCATTTTGATAAAACATATTATTAATAGAGGAAGGAGCCAATATGCAAAATAAATAACCTTTATATTTCTGATGAATAAAAACACGGGTACCAAAAACAATTAATCGTCGTTAACCATTTGCGTGTTATTAATGTCTATTTATGCCTTTCAATTCAAATTATAGTTTTGCTATAATCGAATATTTTATACATGAAGTTTATAAAATAACCAAATACGGTTATAAACCCTATTACATATTTAGCAACTTACCTCACATAATCAAATTTGTTTATTTTCACATTACAAAAATATTTATATTTATTCATAAAACGTTAAAATAAATTACTGCATAGATTACTTAAATCAATAACATTTTGAACATAATTATATTTATATATTTTTATTGTAATATAATTTTTTTGCGATTAATTTAATCTTATAGAGCTTGAAATGACAAAATATAAATATTCAATGGTATATTTAACAATAAATAAAAACCTAGTTATTTTAATATAATTTCAATGGCAAGGCAAGATTATATATTAAAGAAACATTAATTTAAGCACATAATTATCTATGTAATTAAACTAACTTATAAATGCATTTGTATAATACATAAAAATGATATCATGCTAAAATATCTAAATATCGTAGTAAATTCATTACTAACGCGCGCAACATTTTGAATTTGGAAATATTCATCATGTCTTTACTACATGCTATATCTATTATTGAGAAATATCCAAAACAACAGTACAAAAATATGAAACTTTAATATAACTTAATATAAAACATCCCTAAAGGGAAATAATCCATCAGCTAGCGCTTTTCTTTATATTACGTTTATACATTGCCATAGATATAGTTTTTATATCTAAAAACAATACAAATAATTCTCAAGTAAACATTTCTGAATCAATTTTCAAACATTTCGGTACAACATTTTCCTCATCATGTCCATTTGCAACCATTTCAATAACATGCACGGCAATTCTATCTTCTTGAGTAAAATTTTCATTGTCATTTTTAACACGTTTAGGTTTAAATGTTTTCAACTCTTTATTAAGAGTTTCGTCACATAACAAATATTCGCCTAAGACTAAAGGTTGATTAATTTTAGAGTTTGAATACACACGATCACAAGAACTGGTGCATGTTCTATTTAGTGAACTATTAACATCTATTGAACCACGCCTAATTGGAGGTGAAGGGGCTGCAGGAGAATGTTTGGGAATAAGATTTTTCACTCCATCAGTAACACCATTTTTAATAGCTTGATTTGAACTATCTTGGGATAGTCTTCCACTTGTTTGACTCCTTTGCAACCTCATAGAACCTCCAGCACTCTTTCTAAGAGTTGCATTAAAAATTGGCGAAATATCTCCATTATCAGAAATGTGCGCCAAACGTTCGGCAGCCGCAGAAGTATTTCCTACATCCAATAGCTCTCCATTAGACCTGACGCCATTTGGGTAAAGCATTTGACCGTTCACATCAATGCCGTTTGCACTATTTCTGACTTCCATATCTGGTTCAGGAGAATCTCTCTTCTGTCGTTTAGAACTGCGGTTTGATTCCTGTTTTTTATTTTTTGTCAGTGTCGGTGAAGATTGGTTTTTGGTCGAGTCTACACCGCGTCGACTAGCATGCCGGCGCTGTAGACTCAGATCCGAAAAGATCCCGCCTTGACGCGAGACGCACAAAAACTCAAACAGAAGCACAGCAACAAGACCAGTACTGCCGCGGATAATATGTACACGGACCACGACAGCTCGCACGTGCCTGAGAAAAATAAAAGACAGAATAAATATTTTGTAATATGAACTATACTTTGTAATAAATGAATGGTATGAAATACTTCATCAAGATATTTACAGAACTTACTACAGTAGAACCTCGATTAACTGGACTAATTGTTGTCGATAGGCATCCGGATAATCAAAAATCCGGATAATCCAATGTATGAAGAATAATGATGTGAATTTATCAAAAATAACAAATACATAGATATCAACAAAAATCATTGTTTGATAAAAAATAAGAATTTCCTTATGTATGTACATATATATTTTCTTAGATTATATTGCATACATATACTAAACTGCAGCATAAATCGTGCAAAAATTCGAATTGTAGATATGTCTATGTACATTTATATAACTCCGTCACGGTTGGTAGTCCAGATAATCGCAAATCCGTATATCTGAGGTCCAGATAATAGAGGTTCTACTGTACCAAAATATTTATAAAACATGCATTATTTTTAAGTAACATATAGATCAAATACAAAGGGGTCACAAAAATTACAATAAGTTGAAACAACTTCAATTATAGATGTACAATACAATTCGAACGATGACGTTTTTCAAAAATTTAGCAAATCCGTATAACCGAGGTCCAGATAATAGAGGTCCTACTGTACCAAAATATTTATAAAACTTGCATTATTATTAAGTAACATAGATCAAATACAAAGGGGTCACAAAAATTACAATAAGTTGAAACAACTTCAATTATAGATGTACAATACAATTCGAACGATGACGTTTTTCAAAAATTTAGCAATAAAACCTTACACGACGATGTTCATATTGAATTTATAAACATAATTATACAAATCAACAGTGTCAAACATTTTCATAATCTAGAACATCATACAAACTCTATTGTCACTCAGCATCTTGAGACACCAACTTCAAGAAGACTGAAGAAGAAGCTGCCCCATGATAATAAGGAGGACCCTTAGAACTATCACAACTTTATATGAACAGAATAGTAGAATCACTTATTGAAGTGATTCTCTAACTATCCACATAATATTTATCAAATTAATTTATATGTTTGTGCGTGTATGTGTACGAGTAAATGACATAAGCCAAATAGCTCATAGAATTGTCACGTATTCTGATTGCTATTGAAAATAAAATAAAAAAAATTCCTTCAAGTCAAAAAATCTAGAATCATCCATATATAAGTAGCTATTTTAATTTTCCTCAATATTTAAGTAGTAGATACTCTTACTGGAAAATCTAGGATTATCAAAGGAATGACAACAAAGTCGGCTTTAAGATCTGTAATTTGAATATAAGAAGGTCATTCAACAAGTACTTAACCTCACCGCAACTTTTTGGCCTATTTTACAGACCTCAAGATAACGTATTTTTAAGACAGGTTGAAAGAGTTGGGACAAATGAATGTAACTTGAAAAATATCAAGTTGAAAAGTGAATTCCCACTTTTCTTTGGCAAAGTTTTTTATTTGTAGGTTAAGTACTTGTTAAATGACCAATATATTATCTACTACTACTATATGGAAAATGTACTGAAAACTATAATAATAGCGATAGAGCGGATGCATATTATAAATATTTTAATTGAACAGACTGAAGTTTCAAACATAAATTTATCCTTTGGGAAGTTAAAAATGAATAAAAAAAAACTTAAAAATTTTTAAAAATAACTGTAGAAAGCTTGCAACATCGGTGATTTGATGAAAGCGAGTAATGTACAAAATCACAATAAATGTACAGTAGTGTACAAAATCACAATAAATGTTTCACCAAATGCTTTATAAAGCATGTTAAAAAACGTCTATTCTAATTTATAAATTATTCGTATTCGTATTTCGTTATGAGTTTACTCTATACTTCAACTCTTAGTTTTTAACCTTGGTTTTTAGTCATTTACTCTGATATCTAACACCATATTTTATAGAGTTTTCAATATTTGTTATAGTTGTTTATATTTGAATCGCATACTTAATTTAAAATCATAATAATTAATATGTTGATAACAAATGTTATAATTAATACTGAATTTATCTAAATTAAATCAATAAACCTTGGAATTTCGACATTTATTCTTGGTATGTAAAATAAACGTTTATCATAGATATTTAGAAAAATATTAAAAATCTAACGATTAAGTCTCAAAGCCTTAAAAATTGTAAATTTTTTACAAAAAATTTTTTTAATAAATCGATAGAAAATTAGTAGTAATATCTTCATACCTAATTTATAAACGTGCGATGCGTTTCCACAAGATTCTCGAACTTCTCTATTATCCCAACCAATTGGATAAATGGCAGCACCAGCAACAATCAAGAGAGCTGAAAAAATAAATAGTAATATAATATACATAAGTACAAAAATCAATTCATTATTTAATATATTCTAGACAAATTGCCAATGCTAACAGTGAGGTAAGCACATTTTAACTTTTTTGATACTATTTTTGTAGATCTTGTTTTTATTATTACGAACAGTATCAAAATCATTTTGGTCAATTCTCTACTCATTTTTTTTCAGAACAAAAAATTTGGCATATGGAGCAACTATTCTTTTATAGTTGCATTACTACAGTCAACTACAGCATTATTGGGGTGATACAGATTGGTGATTAGCGTATTATACATAGTTCGTAATTGGGAAAATGGTTTAGTTCTGTAATTATCAAATATGTTTGCAAATCAGAGTGCAATTTCCCAACCGTTCCAAGCAACTAAAACATTTATCCCATTTATACGAAACTCTACGCGCGTTTTTCAAGTGAAAAATTCTCAACATATACCTATTCTTCTGTAAAGCCATCACTCAACGTTTTTTCCCTCTAGTCTCGCATAAATGTACACAACACAAACAAGATAAACGCATCGTCAAGCTGTAGATTTTAATATCGTTTTTTTGCCGTGCATGAATGGACTCAGCCGCGTAATGGTTGCCGCATTTGTGAAATGATTTTCCGCAACAATAGCCGTGTTTTCGAGTTTACCACGAAAGTATGTCAATATTTTTTCTAACAGAGACCAATTTCGTAAATACGGTTTGTTGATTTTATAATATATTAAGTTATATATTTATCGACTGCTGTAGACATCTCAAAGAGGTATAAATTAATACATAAACTTTATTTTTATTTTTATTTCCGAAATTGGCAACATGTAGGATTAAAAAAAAGACCCTCAAAATATAAAATCTTCTGACCATTGCCCGCGTTTTTACGTTTAAAATTGACATAGGTTAATGTAAGGTAGGGTAAGTTATAGTAATCGCAAAAAAATCGAATATGTAAATTTTTATATATCTTAACGTTTCAAAGGTTTCTGAATATTTTGGCATACTTTAGATAAAATCGATGCATGTGTGTATGTATAAAGTGTGTGCGGATACAAATTTTCGTCGACGATTTCGGAAACGCCGATCAACCGATTTAAATAATTCAAAAAACATTCGATTCGTATTGATAAGGAGACGTGCTGATTAGTTTTTGGCAAAGGTAGGTTTAGCCGTTCCAAAGATACGGGGCATAAAGTGTCAAAAACGGTAACTTAGTTTTTAGGAGAACGGAGCGTCAGATTTTAATAATTCAAAAAACATATTACTTCTATTCACAAGATGAAAAACTGATTAAATTTTTGGGAAGACAGGTCCAGTAGTTATGGACTCTCAATGAAAATAAGTTAAAAAAATGTCATTTGGCAGTCAAAAATGTTCATTGGACATATGTGCATCAAATTATCAGATATTTTATAGAGATTTTAATAATGTGTACACATTTTGTGTAATTTTTTTTGGGTTCTGTACCAAGATTTTTAATTACGGTACGGGAAGTTCCAGCAATTTGCCTCAAGGTACGATGCCATACACCCTACTAGTTCAATCTTGCCCAAGTAAGGCTATGGCGTTGTTTCCTGGCAAATGAATTCAGGTGATCCTTGAGGAGGCTTTTATATTTGCCTGAATGAGTTCGTATTTAATCGCTTGTAGTCTTTATGTATAAACCAATTCGGTACATAATTTGGGGCATTTAATAATTCTTTTAGTAATTTATTTTGGCACCTTTGGATTTTTATCATGTTTGATATGGGATATGTAAAATAATCAGCACTTATAATGGGTAGTACTGCGCTAGGGCAGATCCTTGAGCTGAGTTAAACCCCAACTCGATTGAGGGAAGAATAGTGTGAGAGATTTCCCATTTCCATTGGACAGAAAATCTATATAGCTACTGCACGGTATCAGGTTGTTCAGATCGAGTTCGATCGAACTTAATACCCCGCCCACACAAGCCCGTGACCTTAATTTTTACACCATTGAACACCCGGCTAGTTATTAATAATTGATAAACTATTTTAAATTTGCTCAACCTAAAAAGCCACTACAACTACTTATATTTGTGAAGATCGTATAAATCGTGGAAAATGTATAACGTCAATCTTACTTTTTCCAATTTTCGTGTCAAACTTGACTTGAAACGTCGAGAAGGCGTGAAATTAGTGAAACTGATTCTCTGACGAAAACCAAGTTCTTCTTCGGAATGTTAATTGTATTTTAAAATGTCTGTGCTGAGTGACCAAGGGCTGATCTTTTGGTGGTTGAACAAAAGCTGTTTGAGGTCGTCTGGGTGATATTATGACGTCGGCAATTATAAAATATTTTTGTAAGGTATATATTGCGAAAAAAGAATTGGCATTTCCACCAATATATCATATCATATATCATACAAAAATTGAAAACAATATTTTGTTTTTCCCGTTATTCATATGTAAATAAGGACAAATTTTTCTCAGGATACCAAATTATCAAACTGCCACTGCATAAAGATACGCTATAAACTCGGTCATAAATATTCGTTGAAAATTTCCTTGACAGTTTTATTTTTCCTACAAGCATCTATCCTTATGTCAATACCTCGTTTTACCGCAACAAACAAGAATAGAGAACTTAAAAAAGAAAAATGCTATATTTTCCCAAATACTACCGTGACGGCATCCATTATCGTTTCACGACGTGAATGCGTATTATCCCAATAGGGCCAAAGTTAGTCGAATAAAAAATTACTTCAATTTATTTTTAAATATTAAAACATGTAATGGAGTTTATTAATATAACTATAATTTTTGTCGATCAGCTATGTCAATATTGATCTAAAGAGATAGATATAGATGGTGGTAAATATAGATATAGAGTGAACATCATGTATATATCAGGAACATTTGGAGAAAAAGTTTTGGTCAGATTTATTGTCATCTATAAATTAATTTTAATTCGAAATTTAATGCCAATTATATTATTTGCTGAATGTAATTTTTTCTGTTTTTTTCAAATAGTTTGTATGTTTTATGTTTTCTGAAAAGCTGACAAACTTGGACTGGAAGTGCAAGAAATTGTCTATTAATTTTGTTGAGACATCCAACTCTTTTATATTATTCAAGTAGTAGTCTTTGAAAAGCCTTTGATATATATATAAAGGTTTTTTTTATCTATATATTATTATTACAGTAAATATTATTATGCAGCTCTTCCAAAGATTATTGTTGACTATCGATGCTATATAGCAAAGCCAAATCTGGTGAATGCACAGATAGATAGCAAACTAAATAAAAATATTAACGGAATTCGATAAATATCAATCCAAACGGGGAAAATAAATCTAAACGTCGGAAAATACTACAGAATGATTCTCAAAATGAGAACGGGTTTCGTCAATAGAATAGTAAAAACAAATTTAAATCTTGTTTGAGTTTAGTTATATTTACAACAAAACATTATGTTCATACTTGAAATACCTAACCAAGTAACTAATTCTAGCAACAATTATTGATACTAAAGTATGTAGAGTAGCAAGAAGAAACTTTGTTAAATATAGCGGTTTGTATTTCATTTTATTTCAAAAGTAAATGTCGACTTTAGATATGTAGCATAAATATTTTTTATTATATTAATAAATTGCATTTTATTTATTGACATATAAAATTTAAACTTTATGTACGATTGATGTCTGTTGGCGTTTAGTTGTTTTCCTCGACCATTGATGTATTACTGATGACCACTCAAATCAACATGCACAATATTTAAGTTATTTGAAGGTTTGAATGATTATTGAATATTCCTATAATAAATTTGAAACCACTGCTATATATTTACCTATATGCAAGTCATGTAATATGTTCAATAGCATATATAGCTCCTACATCCATCTGTATCGCCCATACCATCCATACAGCATGGTATGGTTGATGATTTATTTTGCGAACGAATATACGTTCATTGCGAAATGACTTATAGTAGGTCGTAAAAAAGCACACAACAGACAGCTTCATGACTTTAAAATGTTTTTGTTATGAGCACCATATTTATGAATTATATTTGCTTCCGTTGCAGACGAATATCTTCTTTATTGAATTTATGTCATGTATTTACATCCGGCATGATATAAAAGTTAAAGAAAAATGATGAAGATAGTTATAAATATCACACACACACACACATAATATATATATATATATATATATATATATATATACCTAAATATTTATATATTTATGAGTAAGTTTTTGTGGGGCGATACTCAAAGAATAAAAAGCAAAAATTTATAAATTAATCTTTAATTCCAAACGTTTCAACATTCAATTTAATGTCATCATCAGTGGATATTAACGTTGGTAGGTTACATGTAGAGGAGTGTACACAACACTGGAAATTAGCACTAACATTTATACAACTAACTTGTCAACACCATGCATTTTTTATAATTTTTTGCATGATGTAATAAGAAAAATGATAGTTTTATTTGAACAAAAATGTGAACACATAAGCCTCGGAACTCGCAAAGTACAGAAGTCGTGGCAGAAATTACCTAACTTTACTCACATTTTTGTTCAAATAAAACTATCATTTTTTACGAAATACGAATCACGAAATACGAATTTGAGGGTAGGAGGGTGAAAATGTAGGGTGGTATGTATCAACAGATACAATGAATGATCAAACAATAATATAAACACATAAGTGATAACATTCAAACATTTCAATGCTCAAACGAAAATCTGTTCCTTTAAATAGATGAATGTAAAATTCGTCCAAATTGCGCAAAGACGTAAACTTAAATTTTTCAAGATCGTCATGATAAACAGAAAATATAAATATGCATTAAAATTATGAATATCTCGTAATAAAAATGCCTCATATATCAACCACGGCAGTTTCTCTACTAAATATACAAGGGCACTTTGCATTTTTATTATAACTATAAAAATGCCAAACACAGAATAATATTTCATAATAATTTTGTGCTCTCCATACATTAAATGCGGAAAATTATCTGTTTACT